AAAAGACTGCGACCCTCAAGACACTTGAGGCCATGTTACTCCCGTCAATCACTCACCACCTCAGCCTAGCAGATCATCAGCATGGCTTCCGTAAAGTGCACAGTACCACCACAGCACTTATCGTCATAAACGCCCAGATAGTTCATGGCCTGAACCAGAAGCCACCCTGCGAGAGGGCGGTCCTCGTAGCGTTGGACTTGTCAAAAGCTTTTGACACAGTCAATCACACAACGCTACTTGAGGACCTAGAACAATGAACGCTCCCTCCAGGGCTGAAGCGGTGGACTATGAACTACCTGAGCGGTCGGCATTCATCCGTACTGTTTCGAGGTCAAAACTCCAAACTTAGGAAAATTAAACAGGGGGTTCCGCAGGGCGGTGTCCTCTTCCTACTACTGTTTAATTTTTATATTTCGAAACTCCCCCAGCCACCAGCGGGAATTTCAATGACCTGGTACGCTGATGACTGTACGATATTGATGTCGGGAAATGGAATCGATGGCATGTGTTAAAAAGTAAACAGCTACCTCTCCGATCTTTCTCGCTTCTTCTCTGCAAGGAGCCTAACACTCTCTCCCACTAAATCCACAGCGACCATCTTCACAAATTGGACGAAGGAGTACAGACTGGACCTGAATATTTCAGTCGATGGCACAAAAATTCCGACTGTAAATAATCTTAAAATTTTAGGCGTTACTTTGGACAGTCTGTGCGCTTTCACTCCTCACACGACCGCGATAACTGCCAAAGTACAGAGCCGCAACAAAATCCTCAAGTCGCTTACCGGCAGCTCTTGGGGAAAAGACAAAGAAACGTTGTTGGCAACATACAAGGCATTCGGCCGGCCGGTCCTAAATTACGCAGCCCCAATATGGTCGCCTGGATGCAGTGACACGCAGAAGAAGAAGCTACAGACCTGTCAGAACACTCACTCCGAACTATCACGGGGTGCCTCTTGATGCCTCTACATAGTGAGGCCCGTATGCTTCCGGTTAAGGAACACAACGAACTCCTCTCCAAGCAGTTTCTACTGGGGTGTAGAAACCACACCTGTAGTCGCCTGACTGTAGCGGAGCCGCCTCCTAGGAACATCAAGAGGTCTTTCCTTGACTACGTCGACGACGTTAGACAGTACGCCGACCGGACTTCGGACGCATCGAACTTCAGACAGGCACTGACCGCCATTCACAGTGCACCCATCAACACCTTCACAGACTCCCTCTCAGTGAATGGCTTAATAGGAGTCAAACCACCACCCATAGCAGACATAGAGCTCGAGTTGCCTCGCGAAACCAGAGTGACCCTCGCGCAACTTCGTTCGGAAAATGTAGCAGGTTAACCTCCTACTTATCCAGAATAGACCCCGACATATTAAATGCATGTTCTGCGTGCAATGAGTATCCGCATGACACTAACCACCTCTTTGCATGCCCAACAAACCCCACTCATCTAACACCCTTCTCCCTATGGTCCGACCCCGTCGAAACAGCTCATTTCCTGGGCCTCCCGTTAGACGATCTCGACGACAACGAATCTGGAATTTATCCCTAGCATACAAAATTGTCAAAGCTGTGGAAAAGATGAGGTACAAATAGCTAGACACTTTTCTTCTACTGTCTTACTTTTGCTAAACTAACTCTCGGTAGTCATACACTGTATGAACTAGTCAAATTGGCTGCCTCAACAAATGTATTGCACGGCTATTTTTAGCTGTCTATGTGGCATCATTTGTGACTATGCGAATATCAGTCTGATTACCTAACCTAGTTCAACCCAACGTGTGAAATTTTAGTGATAATCAAAGCTTTCTAAATTTTCTCATATATGTAGGTATTTATATTTTGAAATAATAGATGATTCCTTGCCAATCACACCAAACACACAGCAAAACCTTCCTGGCCGTCAATCCGGTCTTGGCCACCGTCTGGGCCGCTTCCCTGAGCTTTGACCACGACCGTTGCCCTAGATGTTGTCGTAAGTGACCCATTTTTCATCGCCAGTCACTGTCCGCTTCAGAAACGGGTCGATTTTGTTGTAATTCAGCAGCGATTCGCAAATGGAAATTCGGTCCATCATGTGTTTTTGCGTTAGTTCGTGTGGCCCCCAAACATCGAGCTTCTTCTTGAATCCAAGATTATGCAAATGGTTCCAAACGGTTTTCTGGCTTATCTTTTGTTCCTCAGCAATTAAATAAGTGCTCACGTGACAGTCTGTTTCCACTATTTCCATGATTTATCGCAATTTTCGACGACAGGCCTCCCGACGCGTGGTGCATCTTTGACATTGAAATTACCTGAACGGAACCTAGCAAACCACTTTTGTGCTACAAGTTCGTTTACAGTATCGGGCTCATTAACTAAATTAATGTTTTCAGCCGCTTTGGCTGGTTTTTCGCCTTGATCGAAGAAAAATTGTAAAATATAGCGAATTTTCTCTTTGCTGGTGTCCATCTTTGACGAGCGCTCCGAACGAAATTATTTCGTTCGTTAACTTTTAAGTTTTTAAACTTCTCGCAAGATTGTAATTTATGACCTCTTGTGCATAGTTCGCATGACATGTGTTTATTTTGTTCGGATGTGAACGATTGCGTTTTGTAAAAGCTTTTGTTTATCTCGTTGTTGCTTCTAGCTTGGGGTCTATTGAAGCTTCTATTATGGTCGTTTGGTTTGGTTTTGGGTTAAAATCATTTTTGTATTTACCCTTTGAGCGATTTCATATTGGGTAGCTAGAAAATCTTTCATTTGCTGCCACGTGGGGCATTTCTTTCGTGATGAGAGCGATTGCTCCCATAAAAGTAACGATTTTTCTAGTAAAGCGGCGGTGCATATGTTTACCAGTATAGGGTCCCAGCTGTCTGTGGGAATATTCTGTGTCGATAGATCCGACAAACAATTTGAAACAGTGGATACAAGTTTAAAAAATTCTTCACTTGTTTTTTTTTTAGTCTTAGGCAAGTTTATTGGTGTCGTTACTTGTTTATCGACCAATATTTTTTCATTTTCATATCTGGATTTTAGAGCTTTTCAAGCCAAATTAAAATTGTCGTCAATTACCGTATGCTTGACCTTTAGTTTTGTATCGGAGGTGATACAATTTCTTTAGACCAACGTTTAACAAAACTGAGGACAGCTTTTGCTTTCAAGACAAGATGGTATCAATATGAAGACTGAAATTAAGCTTAGGGTCCATATTAACTCCCAAATCAACATAGTTTAAAACTTGCTCTAGAATATGGTGTTTTATTACATAAGAAGAGGGGTGCACAGATCTACGGGAAAAGCACATCGTCTTAATTTTATTGAGATTCAGTTGGGCGGAGGTTTATACTCATTGAAACAGTTTTCAATCCATCAATTTCAATTATAGCTGAAAATGTACCTCGAACTTCTGTGTTTTTATTCTCTAAGCCATATAACTTTAGGGTGCTGCCTTTTAGAGAATATTGCTGGAACAGTATTTTGTAAATGTTGAAATTCATGAGCGTGACTTCCGCCTCTGTATCCACAAGGCAATCTTCACTGCTCCCATCTACTAATATTTGTTTTAATCTTTTAGAAACGAAATTGATGTTTTGCTTTGAGCAGTTTTTCGCAATGTGGCCGCTGCCATTGCATTTGAAACATTTTGTTTCTTCTCTACATTCCGATTTCAAATGTCTCGTTGACCCACAGTTGTAGCAATGTTGGTTACGTTCACTCTTTTTGTTTCACTCATTTGTGCGTTATACCTACGCGCAGCCTCCGATGTTGCGTCATTTTCCATACTGCTGTTCACAGTTTCCATAATTTCGTATTGTTCTATTAACACTTTGTACGTCTTTGCGCTCATTAAAAGAATTTTCAACGTATTATAATTGGATATGGTGACCGTCTCTAGGAACAGTTTCGCTGTATCCTTCATTTTGTTTCTGGCTCTTACGTACATTTGCTTTTCGCTCAAGTCATATGCCGCTGCATTGTCCTCCAAATTCTGTAACCACTGTCGCAATCAGGAACAATTTTTGCAAAGCTTTCAATTGAAACTGTATTTCTTGAATCGTTGCACAGTTTTTCTGTTAATATACGTATAAGTTCAGTACACCGTCTGAGGTTTGGTTGTTGAGTGCCATTTCGCTTTTCAGGCTTTGTTCAATGTTTTCTTCGATCGTTTCTTCACTTTCACTTTCTGTTGATTCTTCTTTAGCAATTTCCACTGTATTTAGCCCTTTTTCAGATCTTAATCGCATATTATGACATTGACTTTTATGGCGTGATCGGCTGAGCCCCAACTAATCCCTCAGTTTTTGAGATATCGCTTTGAATTATTGCACCCTTCCTTTTCTCACCAAGAAGCTACTCATTTGCACTATAGCATATAACTGCCATACAAACGACCGATTAATCGGTGCAACCGAAGTTAACCTTTTTTCTTGTTTGTTAATTTTTCTTTACTTTAAAAATGAATAACATTATTTTTGTTAACAACATAGCTATTGCATATAATCCGTGGTTTTCACTAATTTTAATATGTTTTAAAGATAAGGAACTAATCACTTATTTTTGCATATGACCAACGTATTAACGTATATTAAGGGGTTTTTCTGGAACCAATCAACCGTGTGAAAAAGGAATTAGGTGTAATTGCTTCTTTGTTGTTGTTGGTGACTTATATTGAAATTTCTTATTTGTGTCTTTTTATACCCAGGATATTATTGACAAACAACCAAAATACATTACTGTTAAATTTATACATCAATTAAAAGCGCAGTACGATAGTAATTTTTACACTGTCCGGGTGTGAGTTTCTGTATGTAAATATATTGAATAAAGTGGCGACCCAAACTTTGCATACATGTTTTTTGCACTATAGGTACGAAGGTTGTCATAACGTTAGCATAAGTAAATTTGGTACCAAAAATAAGTACAATCGAAGTATAATATCGCCTGAAAACAAATATAAGACTCTTCAATAATTATATAATATTTAATTTATACTTATTTTGTACTGCTTATTGTTTACAGATAAAATATTTGATATATCAGCATTCACAATATCTGCACAGTTCTGGCCAACTTTCAATAAAGAAAGTTTAGAGCTTCCTAAAGAAATTGCCAACGAGTTTGAAAAATACACTAAAGCTTATGAAGCATATAAAGGAAATAGAACATTAAATTGGAGGACAGTAACTGGACGAGTGAATATTCTTATTGAAATAGGGCAACGGATAATAGAAATGACAGTAGCACCAACACATGCAATCATATTATACCACTTCCAAGATAAAGGTGAGTTTTTTGTTATCTTTCACCATGCTTATCTAATAAGGCTCCAAGAATTTCAGGAAAAAAATGTACGTGTGAGTACAAAAATGAACCGCGAAAATTATGACATACTCTTCCATAAACCACTTAACCGCTTTTTCTGTTTTGTTCAACTTTGAATTAAATCCGTCAAAAGCGTGCGTATCTGCGGTGTTACAAAAATTCCTTCTTTCAATTTTAGGTGACTAATTAGGGAAAATTTTACCATAAATTATTGGAAGTCTGCACATTTCTTTACTCATGATCAAGATGAAGATATACCAGTAGAAAGCAAACTCCATTGAGGAGGAAAACGAAAAGTTTTTTTATCGAACTGGAAGTAAATGACTTCACCAATTAATTTTATTTTTAATTGTCTTTTATGCTGATATAAATAACAAAGTTTTACCATATAAGGGCTTGTTTTGATCGATCAGTTTGAATGGCAGCTGTATCCTATTGTTTCTATGAAATTATTCTATTATTGCGTGTGTTTTTTTTTTTTGCAGTGCAATTGTGAATAAATATTTGCACTGGTACAGCAGCAAAAACACAGCCAATACTATGCGTATTTTTATATTTGAGATCGTTTTTCGATTAGTTTTGTGCATTTCTTGTGAATTAAATATATTTAGATAAATTGAATCAAATTGAAATTTCGTAGTTTTAGTGAGCTGATTTTATTTATTATCTACAGTGAATTCACGAAGATCATCGAATGTGTATGTGCTAATTGACGTTGCGAATGCTTTTGCTGTACTGTTTTTTCGTAAAACAACGTGAATGGAATTAAAATAAATTTCAACAATTTTCGAATGTTGATTTTTTTTGGTTAATTGGTAATCACGGTTAATATTAACATTTCCACCCGTCTGTGAACAACCAGATCAATTGGATTGGATACATTGTGAGCTGAGGTTGCTGATTGACAGCTAATAAATTTAAACGCATTTTTCACGTCGTTTCCGTACTAGTATGCATCCAAAGCGACAATTAATGTTAAGTTTTGTAATTCAGTGAAGTCGATCAAATACATTTGAAAATATGGCCACAAAGTCTTCGTAGTAGGGAATGTGGACGTACCACTCGCCGAATTCAACCAATACCAACTTCGACTCTTCATTAGCAGCAATGAAGCAGTATGGCGCTTTTTATCATTTCCAGTCCATCAACGACATCCAACAGTAGTACGGTGCATCTTGAGAATGAACAGCGCGTGTACTTCGCAGCTAATAATGTACTGCATTATACTCACTGTGCCAAAATGATATTTTTGCAAAGACTCTACTTGATTCTGAGATACCAAATTTCTACATATGGATTGTATCGGCTAAAAGGTTTCAACGTCGCAAACAAGGTAAAGCAGTTGAAGGACATCCCAATTTGTATTCCAGTGACGTATTGAGTCGCCTGTACAATGTTCACTCGAACAATACAGAATGCTTCTATCTGCTATTGTTGTTAATCAATGTACGTGCCAACCTTGCCTGGAACTAAGTCTTCTTGAGAATGATTCACAATGGTACACTGCACTTGTTGATGCATCGAATACTGCTCGACCACAGCAAATATTTGCTATAATATTGACAACCTGATTCCCATCTAATCCAAAAGATCTTTGGGAAAAAACAATGACTACATGAGTGAAGACATTCTATGTTACATCGTTTGCGTGCTGCGAATAAAAATCGTGACATTAAATTCATCTCAAACGTGTATTATGGGGCACTGATTTTAATTGAAGACATATGTTTGACAATCGCTAACAAGACATTGGTGCAACTGGGAATGCCTGCTCCGAACCAATCAGCGAACGACCTTTTCGATCGTGATTTGCAACGAGCAACACACTTTGATTCTGTCGAACTGAACACATTTGTTCAGACAAATCTTCTAGGAAAACAAAAAATATTGTGTATCCCATAGCACTTCAATAAATATCGAATTGAATTGCCAGTTTGTTTGAACAACTGGTTTAGTTTGTTCGATTCACTAATGTCTAATGCTTGGCGAGTCGAAGATAGCTAATCTCTCAAAAAAAATATATTCATATAGTGAAGTTTGAATTGAATAAACACTATATTTTTTTGGTTTCTCTATCGTTATTCTTATTCATTACATCAGATAAAACTAGGGTTAAATGATTTGATCGACTTTGTCTATAATGTTATGTGTATACATTTTTCTTTTAGATGAGTGGACATTAGAAGACCTTAGTCAGATCACAAAAGTTCCATCTACTATATTGCGTCGAAGAATTGGGTTTTGGATCTCTCACGATCTAATAAAGGAAATACGACCAGGAGTATTCAAACTAATGGAGAACGACGGCAAAAAGTCGTCATTCGAAAATACACAATTAGGTCAACCACTTGGAGAGGAAGATGTAGAATCAGCTATGGCTTCTGCAAGCGATCAGCGGGAAGAAGAGCTTCAGGTTCGTATTTTCAATACTTTTTGACTTATTCATAAACAAAAGTTAATATTTTTATTAGTATAAAAATAAATGCTAATAACTGTGCTCCTTTTTTACGGTTGGTGGGTATTTGGTACAAACTCTCGCTAAAATTTTATGCAGAGTTTTTCATTTGGATGATGGTTTAGAAAGTGTAATCTTATTTGTTTCCATCCTAATTATTGTTTTCATTTAAAACTTGAAAACTCTCATCATTATAAAAAATGTTGAAACCGTCAAAGCCTACCTTTTTTCATTTAGTACGTGTGTTAGAAAAATAATATTGCCATGTAAAAGATTTAATTGGGGGATGTCAAAAAACTACGCTTTAATAAAACACATTGCCAATACTGTATTTCAATTCAATTAAAGCAAGCGCTAATCAAATAAATGTACAGAGTATAATAGTTTTTATCATTTAAGGGTTGGTTGTATGGCTTAAAACAAATCATCAATCTCGATTAAGATACAAAACTGTGATTCGGCACAGGGAATCACGGAGACGCCCTTATATCTTAATTTAGACCTTAGTATTTATAAGTACTTTATAAGGGTTCGATTAACGACATTTTGTGGGTGTGGAAATAGCCCGACTCTGTGCAACTCATCTTGTTATCCTAGTCATTTATAAAGGGTCTTCCAATAAGAGTGATATGATTTAAAAAAAAACACGAATTGTTAAGGGAACTCAAATGTTTTTCATTTAATACGAAGAAGAATTGATACAATTATGTTCTCAATATAACATCATTTAAATGGCCTCTACGACTTCTTTTGCAGGAAAGAATTCGATGAATCGAGGAACTTTTTCCATTAAATCGAGTCGTATGTCATAAATAGCACGTTCAATATTGACTTCTAAAGCTTGAAGAGAATCTGATTTATTGCTAAAGACCAATGACTTCAAATAACCCAAATAGATAATATCAAATAATAATTTATAAACAGTGTTCTTGCGTATATCTTTCAATGAAGAAATTGTAAACATTACTGAATACATTGAAAAAAATGAGAGATCATGACACATTAAACACACACAACATTGACACACCTGATACAATAGTGCCGAAAATGTGAAATCGGTCCACGAATCAAACAAGCTCTACATATAATAATATTCGTTATTTTAGCAGACTTTATTCCTAATATAAATGTTTAATTATCTTCATAAAAACGTGAAAACCTGTTGAGTATAATTGAGTAATGCGTTAACGCAATAACTTCAGACACTCCCCCGACCCCAATTACCTGATATTTCAGTGATTTCGAACTTTCCCACTGACTTTAAACCGTTTAGGTTGCTCAAGATATGTCATATTTTAATGAGATTAAGTAGACAAGTTTTCTTAAAAATTATGTGGTATAGCTCTTCTGAATATGAATAAAATTGGTCTAGATTTTGGTCTTAACCTCATATCACTAACATAAAGATTTCCGATTCTGTGGTTTACAAGAAAAAAGGAATAATGAAACAAATTATATGACCAAAATTCAAACAAAAACTGATCTCATGGATTTTATAGGTCTAATTTCAATTGCTACGCGATCTGCCCCCAATATATATATGTGTGATATTTTTATGAAATTTAGTGGAGATGTTTTCATAACTATAACGTGGCTAAGCGCTGAATATGTATGAAATCGGTCTAAATCTCTATATATCCCTAATAAACTGATTTCCGATTATCCGATTTAATAATTTTGATTTTAATATAAATATTTAATGAGCAACAGCGAATAATACACATTTTTTACAAGAGTTTCTGAAGTGGTAGAATTCAAAATTTTGCAAGACTTGGTGTTAGAAATTCGAAGCGACAATGTAGTGAACAGTGACAAAATTCGTGTGATTGATATTACTTAGTATTTGCTAGGAAAAAATTTTAAAATTTCTTTAAATTTTCATGTATTTTTAAATTGGACGACGTAATTGTAATAAAAGAGATAATGATTTGGACAATAAATGAAAAAAGGAAAAACACAACCATAATTAATGATTGTGTTTTTATTTCACATTTATGCCACTGTAAGTAAGAGGGCGTTGGTTCCATGACAGTGGTCGGCGTTTCAAATGTAGGTTATTTACAGACGATAAAGTTAAGGTTTTTAGGGTCCAATATAAGTATTTTAATCATAATTCATATATAAATAATAAAAAAGCACGGAATTACTTGTTGCACCTAAAGAATAAAAATAGTCTCAAAATGGAAGGTTACATAAATCCCACTGGGTATGTTTTTTTCATGCTCACTCACACAGCTATATTTAAAAATAAATGGATTTTCCCATTTATTGTAAAAGGTACTGTAGCGTCGGTATTGCATACTGCTTTATGATTGGTGCTCGCATAAAGGCTGATTAACGACAGCTGATCGATGGGTTGTGTACATGTTAAGAATGATAGAATACAATATAATATAATATAATGTATTTACCGTTACTTTTTTCGGTTTAGGCAATTGTTACAGTACAAAAACGTAGTGAAATAAACCCAATTTATTAGTTTATAGTGAAATTAATATAAAATGTTACGGGAAAATATGTTGGCCATTTTTACATAAATTTTTTTATTTATTGACAACATAATTGCCAATGAAGTGAATGATTAAAGGCAGTGGTCGGCATTTTATAGCACAATTGTGCAAGCTGGCTTCACATGTATACTTACGATCGTTCAGTCACTGTCGAGCATTGTGTAAACTTACATGTAACAAATCCTAATATTTCACAAACACCAAAAATAGACATTCAGTACGGGTTGCCCCCATATTTTCTACTACTAATTAGGCAGTTGGTATGGGTTACCTACTAATATTTTACTACTAGTTAGGCATTTGGTACGGCTTGCCTGCTAATATTCTACTATGCTTTTAATACACATTCAAATGGTTTTCGATTATTTAAATTCCTAAAGATTAAATATTATTATTGTATCAAAATATTATGAAATGTTTCCAATTTTATTAAAAATATTTATAGAATTACTGTGTAAGGGTTTGTAAAATCTATGTATTTCGTGCAACTATGTGATGTCAAAAATCATTTCAACGGATATTTTTTTAAGCTTAGGTTAGGTTAGGTAAATCTAGTTACGTAGCTTAAGAGAAGTAGTCATCTTTCAGTGTTTCATACTGTGAGGTCCCCAACTGTATGAAACGTTATCTTGCAAGTGCGGGACAAGTGCACAAGAGATGCTCCATTGTTTCCCTGGTGGCTTGCTCTTGACATTTCCTGCAGTCATCTCGATCTGTCAGCCCCATTCGGCAGGTGTGTGCCGCCACCAGACTGTGACCAGTGAGTATTCCAATCATATTTCTACAGTCCCTTCTATCAAGAGTGAGCAGCAACTTTGTGTATTTTTCATTTACCGTTGGGACATATCTTTTGCAGTTTTGGACCCTAAGACCGCTGAATGGGTTCTTTCTCCACCTCCTGTAAAACAAGTGAAGTCGCCATGATCTCTTCTATGCCGAGATCTTTCTCTGTTTCACCTTTCTCTAACGTGTTTTTGTTTCCGGGTAGCGCTTCTTGACACGAAGGAACACGCTTCCAACGTCCCACAATATCTTCCCGAACCTCGCGTACAGAATGTCGTCTGTCGCCTTATTGATTTGGAGCGCATGTTCCGGGTTCACCACGCGTGGTATGACTACCTTCGCCTTAGGCACCGATTAAATATTGCTGCGGTCCACCACCTCCAGTTTCGCATCTTCATTCTCAACCAAATCAGCGACGGTTCATCAATACACTTTAGAATCTTGACTACGCTAAGCCATCAAATAACGGCATCGGTGCCCTGAGTTCGACGTTCTTCCTCCAGAAGAGGGCTTCCAATAGCTTCATTTCACATTTGTCCCATCGGGTTACTGCGGTCTGTGATCGCCACGATCAAATGTTGTTTCACAATCTCATTGGCTGCCGCCTTTGCTTTGAACGTTGTAGGTTTATCGTCCGCGTGCTTGACGTCGAGCTTCTGGCCTACGTCCCTCCTCTTTCTCTGTATCAAAGGCGCCTTCGGTTCTCTCTCCATTGAACGCTGCATCTTTTCAGCGCTATGCTCCTCGATGCGATTCGACAACGCTGGATCCGAGGCATTGCACCAGTTACGAGTAGCGAAGTGTGCCGTCGCCTTGTACTGCGCTTTTGTCTTCAACCCCTCCTTGCTTGGCTTCCTCCGGGGCCCACTCTTGTTGCCAGAGTTGGAACCCTCGGTCACCTGTTCCAGAGAGCAAAGAAGTTCTTCTTTATCTGTGTTTATGCTCACAGCACTTTCTTGGTCCGAGTCTTCATGGACTGTGACACCCGTGCACTGTAAAGCTGGCTTGGCAGTAATATTACAACCACTGTAACCTGCTCCCGTTGCAGTGGAAGTGTGACGGCTGGCGATCGCCGTGCCCGCCAGTGGTAGCAGCAAAGAGTTATTATATAGGGTGGCTCACGAAGCACGCTACAAAAACAAACCCTAATAAATTTTTTTCTGTGTGAGTAGTCGACTTACTATTTTTTTACTAAGCAGGTTATTATTTAAGTGTTTTAGAAATTAATGCTTGCGATACCGAAAAGAGGTAGAGAGGATAGTGCAGCGGTACCATACTTCGCAGTCAATCATTTCCGTCCAAAATGAATTTAGACGGGACTTTGCCCAAGTAAATGGACCATTATGAGGTTGGTAAACATGTTTTCCGGATCTGAAAGTATCGCAGGAAGACCGTACCATCGAAATCCGTATGTTCGAGTTCAAGAAACAATCGCTGCTGTTGCACCGTCAACGGATAACTCATGATGACTTAAATCTTTTTCCATACAATGTTCAAATAACAAGCCGTTTAAACTCTCTAGAATTGTCTATTCGCCTGGAATTTTGCAAAAAATTTATTGAAATGGTCGAAGAAGACAATAACTTGATGAATTGCCTGTTTATGTCTGATGAGACCCATTTTGACCTAACGGAAATGTAATCAAGCAAAATTGACATATCCAGAAATAATCTACGAGACGGAACTTCATCCAGAACGAGTCACTGTGTGGCGTGCAGTTTTATCAAGGAAACTTTTTTTTAAGGAAACGGTGTAACAGTAACTGTCAATGGGCACCGTTATTTAAAGATGTTGAATAAGTTTTTTACCCAGAACTGCTCAGAAGACGTATACCTTTCAACAGCGTTTGGTTCCAGCAAGATGGGGCAACTGCACACATAGCCAGACCGGTTATTGCGGAACTACAACGGGAACTAGAAAACAAATTAATATCAAGAAACTCCACTTTCCACTGGCCCCTAAGGTCACCTGACCTGACTGCAGCAGACTTTTTTTATGGGGTTATGAAAAGCAAGATGTGTACAAAACAAATTCCAGTGATCTGAATGAATTAAAGCAGTCTAATGAATCGACAATTAAAGTAATCCCAACTTCAACCGTTCAGACCGCAATGAATAATTTTCTAATTAGGTGTCGCATATGCGTGGCTGAGTATGGATGTCATTTACGGTCCATAATTTTTAAAAACAATTAATTATATAAAATAAAATTTGCTATACAATAAAAATAAAAAACTATGAAACGCGCTGATTAAAAAAAATTCTTACGGTGTGTTTTCGTAGCACGATTCGTACATTCTTTTTATTTGTATCTCTGTGTCTAAAAAGGCAGATTTCGATCAGGTGATCTCAGCAGAGTAAAATATTTGGAAACCACATTGTGGTTTAAAGGTTTATACACCGACGAAATAACATCACGCATCGTGCCGCTAAAACAAATGTGCCCTGCACGAAATTCTTTATAATTATGAAGGCATTTTGGTGTTATAAAAAACATTTTGTGTTTTAGGTTATTTAATGTCAATAAAGTTAAGATCTTTAGGGTTCAACATAATTGTTTTAATAGCAATATATATCAAATAAATAAAAATGCAAGGAATTGAATGTTTCACGAAAGAGTAAAAATATCGTCAAAATGTAAGATTACATAGTTCTCAGGGGGTGGTCTTTATTTTCGTGCTCACTCAGACAGTTTCTCTCATGCCGGACACTGATTAAAAGGGATTGTGGTTGTATTTATTTAAATTTATAAATATAAAATATGTTGATTTTGAAAAATGAATTATGTAGTGGCGAGTTTCAATAACTATTATGCAAATAAACCATTAAAAACATTTTTTTAGTTTTCCTCCGGATATAAAAGTTGGAAAAAAATTGGTAACTTCATCATCATAATAATTATAGAATCTTTTCCCTATAATTTCAATTAAATACATCAAAACTATTATTAATATATCTATATGTATATATTTATGTATAATAAAAGAAACTACTGCTGGGTACATCGCAATCTCAATCCTTCTTAATCATTCACTTACTTATTAATTATGTTGTCAATAGATTAAAGTATTTATTTAAAAATTACCAAAATATTTTCCCGTAACATTATTCTATTTATTTCAAAAAAATTTTTCACTATAAACAAATAAATTAAGTTTTTCACGAATTAACAAAAGAGTTAACGTTGAGATAGATCCCTGGCAGGATTTTAATTGCACAACAAATATTTGTTTTTTTGGTTAACAGGTAGGTACAGCCTGCTCGGTTTTCCCCAAACCTTATTTGATCCATAGTGGTAATAATTATAATTTTAGTCTTGTCCCAAAATATAAAAACTGTCGTGGCTTATTGACTTGTGAAGTGGATAAGTTTATATGTCGTGGCACATGCCTTTCCATATGCATCTTCCAATTAATCATTAATTATTCTTCATCTTATTAAGTATCTTTAATTGGTCGCATCTACTAAGCTTCGATGGTTTGCCGCCTGAGCGCTGTAATTTTAAGCAATTTTCTTATACACCGTGGTTAAATATATTAGGTGTAGTAAAAACAAATTATTCTTCCAATAGATGGCGTTATTTATATGTATCTTGCGTCCGATTGGGTTTGGCTAGATGGTGTTCGAAGGATGACATTTCGTGCTAAAAAAGCTTTTTTAACAGTTTTGTGATTGCTTGATTCAGTTTTGAGCAAAGAGAAAATAGCTATATTTTATAGTTTTTCATCGATAAGGGCGAAAACGCAAGCCAAGGTGCTGAAAATGTGAATAGCGTTTATGGTCCTGATAACAGTCAATTATGCGCAATTTCGGTTTCATCGATTCCGTTCCGGTAATTTCGATGTCAAAGATGCACCACGCTCTAGAAGACCAATTATCGAAAAAATCGATCAAATAATGGAAATCGTCGAGTCCAAACATCGATTACGATTGTCCAGGATCTAAACATTGCACAGAAACCCGTTAGGATCCATTTGAATAAGGCTGGATACGAAAAGTAATAATTAAAACATTCAATTTCATGGGATAGGTTTTTTTTGCTACACCTAATATCATAAATTGTTCAGTACAGATAATTTTTAAATAATGTTCCTTTGTGGTAGTTAAAATAAACTATCTACACGAGATTTTCCTCAATTTTTTTCCATGCATTTTAAAAAGGATAAGTTATTGATGACTACACTGCGGTGAATGAGAACAATTGGTCCCAGTTTTTATCATGCCCCCAAAAAAAATTCCATTAAGTTGTCTCGTCCACCTTAGCGTCTTGTTCTATTGTCGTTCTACATGTAAAAGTTTGGCAAAATAATGGAAAGTGTTTTTTATCTATCATAAATACATTTAAATAATGTTTTCCTAAGAAGGCAAAGTTTATTTTGTGAAGTTAATTTAATTCTAAAATTATTTTCAGGTATTTTGGTCATATATAGTTGGAATGCTAACGAACTTGGACTCCTTACCACTTGATCGTATTCATCAGATGCTTAAATTATTTGCCTCACATGGAGGTGGCATAGAATTCACGCAAGATGAGCTTAAAAATTTTCTACAACGAAAAGTTAGAGAACATAAGTTAATGTATACAGGTGGCGTATATCAATTATATAAATAAAATCTTAACAAATAAACCGGACCCACCAGTATAAAAAATTTAATCAACCTTAGCTTAAACTTCGTGTGAATAAATCGTTCCCATGTATTTTTTTCACGCGAACGAAAAATTCGTATACGAATTTCGTGTGAAATGTTCGAATTTCGATTATACAATTGTGAACTTCGGCAAACAGTATCATATGATTTTGTTTTGATTTAGTGGCATTGACAAAAACTTTGAACTTATAAAGCCAATTATGCGACTGTTTTAGCTTAAACGCGTATTTTTATTTTTAATCATATAACATACATATCTTTTTGGATCGAATAGGTATTAGCTGCATAAATTATGCAGATAAAAATTTTCTGAAGTATTAGTATTTTTGAAGGAATAATAGATTTAAAAAAAACTTCTTGAATGGCCCCACATTGGGTAGCAACTTGAAAATCGATAGTTACTTTTGTTCATTCTGAAATCGATTTCGGTGGTAGCTGTTGGAAGAATCATGTAACTTCATTCAAAATACATACACTTTTTCTTTGTTTTCTCTTTTTAAATTCTTGCCTATATCAGGATTTTCGGCCTTACTTGACCAAAGGCGTCAACTGTATTTTGTTAATAGGTTAACATAAAGTACATAGTTAATAAAATATGCTTACATTGTGCCATGTGAAGTTCACGATAAGAAAAAAATTTTTTAACTTTTCCATGGGGAATGGCCTCCACACGAAGTTTACAATAAGGCTGAACAGTTTTAAAATATTTTAATAAAATCAATTAACGTATTTTGATTTTGAAAATAATATTTTTATACTCTCGCAACCTGTTGCTACAGAGTATAATAGTTTTGTTCACCTAACGGTTGTTTGTATCACCTAAAACTAATCGAGTTAGATATAGGGTTATATATATATACAATAAATGATCAGGATGAAGAGACGAGTTGAAATCCGGGTGACTGTCTTTCCGTCCGTCCGTGTGTCCGTCTGTCCGTCCGTGCAAGCTGTAACTTGAGTAAAAATTGAGATATCTTTATAAAACTTGGTAGGCATGTTTCTTGGTACCGTGAGACGGTTGGTATTGCAGATGGGCGTAATCGGACCACTGCCACGCCCACAAATGTTTTTAGCACTTCTATTGACGGTGTGAAAATAGTTGAAATCGGGTGGACACTCTGCCCACTCCCTATATAACGGTACTGTTAAAAACTACTAAAAGCGCGATAAATCACGCACTAAACACGCCAGAAACATTAAATTTTATCTCTGGGATGGTATGAGATGACTTTATACCGCGTTCAAAATTAGACAGTGGGCGTAGCACCGCCCACTTTTAGGTGAAAACCCATATCTTGAGATCTGCTTAACCGATTTCAACCAAATTCGGTGCATAACGTTCTTTTCATGTTTCTATATCATAGTGCGAAAATGGGCTAAATCGGACTACAACCACGCTCATTTCCCATATAACACCATTTTCAATTCCATCTGATTCTTTCACTTTCCACTATGCATTTCAAGCAACAATGATTATATCGGGGTAAAACTTTGCGTGAATAATACGTTTAATGTATGCCACCTTGTGACCAAAAATTGTCTAAATCGAACCAAAACTGTTCAAGCCCCTAAGTACTAAATATGTGGACCCCAGTGCCTATAGTTGACCTTCTACCGAAAATATCAGCCAATCCACAAAGAATTCTCAAACGAGTATACCATTTGACTTTGTGAGAGTATAAAATGTTCGGTTACATCCGAACTTAGCCCTTCCTTACTTGCTGAAATTACTTTTACGTCAAATACGAATGTGTTACATACATAAATGTTCAGTATTGTATGTTACTGACAAAATTTTCCTGTGACATTTATTTATGGTTTTAATCAAATTCAATATTCAAAGAAAAAATAGTGAGATTTAGCAAAAAACACAGTTTCGTAAGAAGACAGACGTTAACGTTATTCTACTATTATAAAATTCTACTCTCAATATTAGATGTGATCAACACGCGGAAAATGAGAAAATATTTCTTCATCGGTGTACTACAACCCAAAAAAGGTCCACCGGGTAAACCAGACCAAATATGAAAACATTATTTGCCTCCTATGTAGATGACACCTATGAAATAGTATTCAATAATACTAGTATAGTATAAGTATTCTTTTAAGAAAAGAAATGGATTATCGTTAACCCAAAGGCACTGCCAAGCAGCAGGTATTTTTGCTAATATTTTCTTTGTTATTAATTCGTAATAATGTAGGTCTACAAAGCTTTTTTTGGAACCGCGCAAATATCGAAAAAGCGAAAAGTTTAAGCGAAGTTGCAGCAACTATAAAATACAAAAGTCCGAGTAGTGACGCTATGTGTGGTCAGCTACTAGACTAACTTTATTTGCAAAATTCTTCTCCTTAAATAATATTCTAAGTAATATTTCAATACCGCTTAATACATAGTTTCTTTTTGTATTAGTGCATATATACATAAGTATGTAAGTTATACACCTTTAACCAACAAAGGAGAATAACCAAAGTACATACTACGGACGCAACATTGCAAGAGGCTGCTTACATATTAAGCTTGGTACATGCTAAATGGGACTAGCTAATGTGCACAAAAAAATATTCATATAATTACGTGGACGAAAACATAGCGGTAACATAAGTGTACAAAGCGAGCGCAAGCAAGCTAATATGTATGTGCATAATGCAAATATAATTATTAACCGCATTGAGGTGAATGACTTCTAATGCTTGCCCTTAAATATTAGGCAAATAAACAGAGAACAAGAAATAGCAAAAATATATTAAAACATATGAGCGTAGAATGCAGTGATTCTCAATCGCTGACCTAACATCCCGGCCCCGTTGAAAGGCATTTCAAACAGGTAGAAGTGCTAGCTTGTGAAGTGGTCACCGAATCATTCCCTTCGTTGTTCGAATGTACACCACACGCACTTTAGAGTCCTTTCCTGGAATACAGTTTATTACTCGTCCAATGTGCCATTTTTGGTAAGTTGTCTTCATGGATGATAACCATTGAATTGTTGTTGATGTTTAGTCGCTCCGAAAACCACTTTGATCGCACTTGAAGTTCGTTGATGTATTCATTTGACCATCTGTTCCAAAACATATGTTTAATGATTGTGACCTGATTCCATCGTTGTATGTTGCTGATGTTAGCTGACAATCTCCGCTCAGAAAATGCCCCAAGTGCATTACCGATAATAAAATGCACCGAAGTCGACCCTTAGCCGATTTGACTGCTGCCTCCCAAATACCGCGGAAATGAGGTGCTCTGGTAGAAATAAAATTTAATTTTATGAATTCATTATCACACTATTTTATAATTGCATCTTTGTTTTCGGTTTTAAATAAAAATTACTTTAATTCAGCTAGTTTGTTGCAAGCACCCACAAAATTTGTTTAGCTATCGCAAAAGATGTCAGAGGGTAGACTTCTTCTTCCAATCATGCGCTTCAAAGACGCTAAGAATGAATAGATCCGATACAAGTTCGATGTGAACCGCCTTTGTCGCTAGACAAACGAAGATCCCAATGTACGCTTTATAAGGTGTTTTGCCTCGAATACGCAAATATACGTTGACTGGTCTGCAGACATCAATACCGCACCGCCCAAAGGGCGAGATGGAGTTGATCGCTCGACAGGTAACTGTCCCATTACTTGGTTCATCAGCTTTGGCTTGTAACGTGTACAATGTGTGCACGATCTGACGATGCGTCTTGCTAAATCGAATCAGCTGTCTAATAATGTGACAAAATTTTCAAATGAATAAATTAAGAAGCGTTTCATACATTTGAAATGCTGAATTAAGTCTACTAAAGTTTACAATAAGTTCCGCTATTTTAGCTTTTATTTTATTTGAAGAAAAAAAGCAACGAAGAAAATAAAAGGAATATCTTAAAAGAGCACAGTAATACAGTTTCATACATTTGAAATGCTGAATTAAGTCTACTAAAGTTTACAATGAGTTCCGCTATTTTAGCTTTTATTTTATTTGAAGAAAAAAAGCAACGAAGAAAATAAAAGGAATATATTAAAAGAGCACAGTAATTCACTTGATGCACCAGGGGAGTCGCATGAGGAATTTGGCTTGCATTTACTTGTATGTTTGTATACATGCTTACTTTACAGATTTATATCACATTGTCGACTGAATATAGAAATAACGATATATAAAATCGTAACAATAATATACATAAATTATTTTCTTAACTTACATTTCAAATGTGTCAGCAAAAATCCTCTTGCTTTGTTTCTGATAACAAAACCGATAAAATTGGTGTTCGTGATACCCAAAGTCGATATAATTTCACCTACTATATTTTTTTATCGGTTTCAATTCTGATTCCGACAACTATCAGATCCTACAACACCCCTGTCAGTGCTAGTTTTGCTTCAAATGAAAAGAAGAGAGTTTTTGATTCTATTTTAGTCCAAGTGTACTAGTGATGGATGTATCTACGTTTAAATCCTTTACAGAGTCGTCTTCTCTGAATTGATGATGATTGGAATGCCACTTTGTTAATTAAAACTGTCCTAATTCTAGCAGTTGTAGATAAAGCAAGAGATATCCTTTATCTGTACAAGTACGGTTAGAGTATCAGCACCAAAGAGTATGTCGTCTACGTAGAATAATGACTTCATGATTTTTTCGTCAATCGTAAATTGTTCTCAATGCTGCTCAGCTAGATAGAACCAACTAATAGCAAGGTGCAGCAGCCATTCCATACGTTACAACATTTAGTTGATACGTATGAATATCTTCAGTCGGTGAACTTGACGATGCATCTTGACTATGTCGGCAGTGATTGCAAACCTATGGAATCGAAAACGAAGAAGAAGAAGAAAAAACTCCATATAGCAAGATATGGTGCAGCCGCCATTTCATACGTTACAGTATTTAGTTGATACGTATGAATATCTTCAGTCGGTGAACTTCTCCACAAAATGAACTGGAACTTTCGATCATTTTCATCATTAATACTTGGCGATACATCTGGACTATGTCGGCAGTGAGTGCAAACCTATGGAATCGAAAACAAAGAAGAAGAAGAAGAAAAAATTCGCATTGAATTATAGGGCCGACCATCTGAATATCGTTTAATTATTTTTGGGATGTGGTTCGACGAATACGACTCGTAGCTTTGTTGGTTCAAGCACACAATGATGTGGTATAAAAAAATGCGGTTCGCTGAGATTTGGATTTTTTACAACGCTCATATGACCTAAACTCTCGTAGTCACTCATAAATTCGACGTATTGGACTTTTAATTGTGGTGACTTGGCTAATCGACGTTCTTGTGCATTGAATCGTCTCAATGCCGTAGTATATGACTCGCCCAAGCACTTCGAATCATCCTTGAAGCGTAATTTGACAACTATTCTTCCGCAAGATCTTCTTGAAACTGTTGATTTGTATATGTGATCGCAACTCTGTTGTTCACGAATCCAAGCCTCTGGTATGGTAGTGACTTCTTCCAATTTTCACAACTTTTTCAATTTGGCATCTAAAGATGCATTGGTTAAAAATAAACAATATGGTTTAGATATGTTGTTACTGCTCGTCTTATAGCGTCCCGAAACAATCCAGCCTAAGAGCGTTTTTCGCAAGATGGGTAAATTAGATCCAAGATTGATTTGATATACAGATAGAAGACTGAAGAACTTTTCTGTACCCACCAACATGTCGATTTTCTTTGGTAAATAAAATTCATCATCAGCGAGCGCTATATTGTGTGGAATATTCCATGTTGAAATATTGATTTCAAGATCGGGTTGATAAGCAATGTGCGATGTAATACAAAAAGTCAATGGAACTTCGAAACCAGTGACTTGCAACTTGATGTTAGTTGGGGTTATGAATTTATATTTGTTGACGATGAACCGATGCTTTGAATTTGTATGTTTTGTTTATTTCTTGGAGAGATTCTTCTCTTTCTTTCTAAAACTGCGTTGCAATTCTCCCATGACGGCGGCGTTCTGAAGTCTAGCGACTTCCGCCTTTTGTTCGTCTGTTCATTAGACTTCTGCAAAATTAAATGAATGAGCATAGCTTGCGATATTTGGCTGTTGGTACCTAGCAACATCAAGGAATCATAAATAGCTGAAGCCCTATAAATTAAACTTCTTAGCTGAATGCCATTTGGTTTCATAACTGCTGGTATATCAAATAACGAATCTATTCCTTCCAAAAAAATTAGTGTTTTGTTGTCATACCGTACCCTCAATCGTTCTACGCCTTCGGAAAGTTTTCATTTGTCACTTGAAACGCATTTACAAATTCTAAGGCTATCTTCTGCCAGTTGCGATTGCATAATCAATTTAGTTGTGATGTCAAGTTCTTCCAGGTCAGCACGTGCTCCATCATCATCATCCAATCTTTCGATATCAGTTTGATTTAAAAGAATCTACTTAAAATAGGACATCAGGATGCCCAAACGACACTTGTATTTCGAAGCTGAAAAAGCCTTTCCACCTGGTCGCAAGCTGGCATCGACGATATTTTTAATGCACGTAATATTTTTCTTGGTGCTCGCGCGTTGTTGTCTTAGCTCTTCCAAAGACATTGCAGAACAGAATCTTGTATATGCTTTATAGAGCCTTCAAAATTATTTTAAGTAACAATAGTTCTATTTCTAGTGAGTATTTAAGCAATAAGTGATCAGTTAATTTTATCGCAAAAAATTTATAAAACCAAGTTATACTAATGTATGGGTATGCAACGAACATGCGAATATGCGCTGCAGGAAATGGTAACGACAGAGAATGTTAATGAATAGAGAAGGAGCAAATGTTAGCTGTTCTAAAATGTTAATTACGATGAGGGAACATCGAAAACGCGCAAGTTCGAAAATAAAATGTCACCACAATTATCAATTTATGCAACGAACTACACCACTCTATAAGCAAAATGTATATATAATACATACATATGCACAAAAGTTCTTTGATATGCGCATAAACAAAAATTGAAATAATAAAAACGAAAGTAATTGACTTCCGACAAGAAAATATAAATAATGAGGAAAATAATATTAAAAAAGAATTCAAATATCATTTAATAAAAAAGGGTTATAAAAATAAAAAAAGACTATATAAAAATATGATAGGATTTGAACTTAGGCAAAATATTTCACGTTGCAATAAACAAGTCTGCTATACAAGCAGCACCACAGACAATATTCAGACTACTTTGTCTAATCTGTGAAGTCAAACAGCTATTGTTGTTTACTTGCTTCAATGTTCATATGTCTATATGTGAATATTCTTGAAATTGCCCTCCTTCATTCGCATGTCCAAATATATTTGCATATATGTACACATATGTACATATGTATGTCCCTCAATATGTCTTTCGCAAAAAATCAAACATTCGCGCAAGTGACAAAAAAAAACGTAGACGCACCATCATCGGCCAATAATATTCAAGCGAACTCGCGGCGTATTTTCTAAGTATTTCATATTACAACGACAACAAATTCATTCATAAGGAACGTGCGTCTGCTTCAAAGCAAAGTGCGTTCGTTCATAACTCTGCACCGCTCTATTTTTCTGTGCGCCTGGTAAACCACATTTGGTTTTCATATAGAATTCCTACCGCAAATGCGCGAAAATAAAAATGAATGAAATTGAATTTGAATGTCTTCAGTAAAATTGAAGAATCAGCAAAATTTCAATTTTACAATTTGTATCACTGAAAATCCTACCATCCCCCTCGCGTTTGTATGTTGCCCACAAGCTGCTTCCTCACAACATTTGCTAAAAATCAGAAATTGAAGAATTTGTCTGGTGTTCCCTTCAGAAAGGAGAATTGGCAACATGACCTCTTAGTGATTTGAAATATTGTTTTAATTTTTTTCATATTATGCACTATTTTATAAAATTTACATAAAATTGCCATTCATATGAAATCATTAACTACTTCTATATATTCTAAGCACACTGCATATAGTACTTTTATATGTTTACTTATTATCATTATTTCATAGTTTGTCGATTTAGCCAATTTTATCTAAATACGACGCTATGAAAATGCAGCCCAATCGGTAATCGCAATATTTCAAAAGAGCATAAGTCAACTTTCAATAGCAAACCACTATAAAAAGGACAAACGAGACAACACAGCCGACCGACATTGTCGCAAAATTGTCGGTTTAAACAAATTTTGTCAACTCCGCGACGATTCACACAATTTGGTGTCAATATGTATGCGATCTCATATATGTATGTATGCATGTATATACATATGTATGTTTGGGGACAAAGTCGTCATTTGGTTTTTTTCAACAACACAATGTCCGCGCGAACTCGCCGTTATTTCGTTGGCTTGCCACCATACACAAAGGCGTTTCAACTGAGGGCTCATAATGCTATTAGCATTACCACTGTTAACTCTACTCCACGCTCTCCCATTTGATATGTCATTTGAAATATATTCCTTTTTATTGAACTATTATTTATTATTTTTTAAATTATTTTATGTTAATTCATTTTTACTTTATTACGAGAAATATATCAAAATACTTTTAAATTATTACTAATAAAGTATTTTGATATATTTCTTAAAATAATTAATGTACTTGACACCATTATGGAGTCATAAAAGTACAGAATTGTGTTTTGCCGTCGGCATTTTCATATCATGTGTACATGTAAAGAAATATGAAAGAAAAATATTTGTAAATTTGTCTACAAACAACATATGTATGTAGATATGAACACTCATTACTTCATGTAAAATCGAAGTCATGATGATCGATGCTCACGGCTTTTATGTCAAATAGTCAATCTGTCGAAGGACTGACGCGACGACAAAGTGTCACAACATTGTGTTGTTGGTAGAAAATCCGAGATGTGCCGAAAAATAAACGAACGCTCGCCGATTGTCACCGCTTCCCTTGCCGCTCTAACAGCTTTGCCCACAAATCATTGTAAATATGTATGTTTATATATGAGCATGCATACATATTGACGCAGATCTTTGCGAGTCAAAGAAAAATTTTATAGAATTGTAAAATATTTTAAATCGACAAAAGCTTTGTTGCCACTTTTCCCACTTATTTCTCTGTTTTGTGGGCTTGCAGGTTTATCACTTTTCGCTTCTAGAGGGAACATAAAAAAGTTGTTCAATTTATAATTTCTAGCTTTTGCCATCGCCGCGAAGAGACGCTTGTAGGCAAACGCATGCTCGGGGAGATGTGTACGGCGTTTACTTTTATGAATGAAACGACTTAGCTTATTGCATGTGCGCCAGCGTTTATGAATGAAAATGTTGTTATTGTGTGATTTACTACAAATCTAAAGGCTCATATACTTACATTTGTACGCATATATACAATATGTATATATGTAGATTTGCGTATGCATTACTTATTTTGCAATGTCATACGCATATTTGTACATACATACTTACGTATAGACCAGTGCGCGCACATGTATTTATTGATAAGTGATAATATATTATTATATTATATAATATAACATATTTATGTACATATGTACATACATACATTATGAATTCTGGAACAATTGACATTAGAAAATTATTAAAAAAGTAAAATATATTTTTTTTTGCATAATCTTTCGCATTTTATCATGCCTCATTTGTGCAAAAAAAAACATATTTTATCAATTTTTATCATAAAAATTCGTTTATATGACCAAAAATAATCATGCATATGTGAAGTGGCATTTGTATTTGTTGTTTAAGGTATTTAGTTTTTCTCTTTACGTTGGGAGATACGTATTTTGTCAGAGAACGTTGTTATAAATTCTCATTTCTGTTAAATAACAGCAAATATTACAGAAAATGGTGAACTCCTTGATCTCAATTTTTCAGCTCTATTAGCCGTCCAATCGAGCATCATACAAATTTCAATTTGCAACTTCTCGTTCTTCTAAGTTCTCTGGTTAAACTACATATTTTTCATTTACATCTCTGTGTCAAAAAATGGCCGATTCGATCAGGTGATCTCAGCTGTGTTACACTTATAAGAAAAAAAGAGATAAAAACTTAAATTACATTTTAATTTACATTTAAATAACAACAATGAAAACAAAAAGGGCGCGAAAATAATCCCAAAAACAAAGCAGGCGCGATCCTAACAATTAAATTTAATCTCATATACAAATAAATATATACAAAAGCCCTTGAAGGAAATCAAAGTGAGCCAATTCGATTCCTTCTCTTAAATTTATGCACATAGATATGTATATTTATTGCAAATTACAGTTTATATTTTGTACAAAAAAACTGTAATAAAAGGCAAAAAAACCGTTCAATATTTTGGTAACGGTTGGCAAGTTGGTCTAACTTACCAGTTTAAATTGCGTTTTCAAATTACGAAAGACCGTTTATTGTAATAGGTATATATGTACATTCATACACATGCATATATACGACAGATATATATATGTATATATTATATAATAATTGACTGCCTCTACATGCTTACCTTCGTGTATTCAAACACAATATACAAAAAAAAAAAAACAAATTTTAAGTATTTAATTACAAACAATATTTTCCGGCAATACCCCTTACGCTTAATTAAGCAGTAAAGGCACAAACAGTCACCGACATAAAACCGTGTCCCGAATCAGCTGATACGACCTATCTTATGAGAGCGCAATGTAAATGTTCACTCACCACCGCTTCTACCGTCCGCTTCAACAGACTGTACGGTAGGATATCCGCGAAAATTGGATCTTTCCCGTGGAAACGAGTGAGCTGAGAGTGAGAGAGCAATATCTTGCAACGCAGGGTTGCCAATCTCGATATTTTGTAGTAATAAAAACATGAACTTGAATATATTTGAAATATTCTAAAAATAACTTTAAACCACAGTCGAATTCACTTATTTATAAATAGGCAAACTATTTTAAATAGTTGGATTTTAGTTTTGAGCTTTTACATTATGGAAAACTATAACTAAAAGACTAAATGTGTGAGAAATTGTGTATACAAATAGAACAATGGTAACATTGGCGAAATGAAAACAAAAGAGAACAACCGATTTCTGGGTTGCAACTACGGGCATAACTTTTGACAAATTTGGTTTGATACAGGCGGTAAGTAAGGAAGGGAGGAATGTCGGTGACTGTTTGGGCACTAAGCAAGATTGCGTAATATATGTGAGCAAAGGTAAAGTCAAAGTTGAAGTATAAAAAGCCAAATAAATATACATACATATAAACAATAAACGAAAACAAAAATAATAAATATGTACATAAAGGAGTATTTACTTTTACTTATAACGAATATATAAAAATTGCATATACCGACATATATACAGCGTGCATATTTATGTATACATACATGTGTATTTTTCCATATTAAATATTTAATATCGTATATCACATATTGTATTTTACATACATATGTATATATTTTATACATCATTTATACATACAATTACAAACTTACATACGTACATACAGTGCTTAACCAATTTCTCTCTCGCGCTCTTTTACGATTATAAATAATACGCTTATTCGCATTTACATACAGCATACAATCTGATTATACATATATACCCTATATATGTACATAGGGTACAATCATAAGAAAACCAATCGGAACTTTTCGCATAAACACGGTTCGGTAAATAAAACGCGGATTATTTAATAAAATCATATTACATTATATAAAAAAATACAAAATTGTGAACAATATATACATACATATTGGTTCAAACTAAATTTATATTTTATCAAAGTTCTCTTCGGCATATATCCCGCAATACCCCTTGCAGCAAGCAAGTAGGATTGCGTACAAAACTTTCATAGGTACAAAGTGCATTAATCTCTTCAACGAGCTCTCAATTGCACCAGTACATACATATGTGGCAACATCATCCACTACCGTCAGGCTATAACTATGTTGAACTATGTTACCGACCGTCAAAACGCACAACACTACCGACCGGCAACCCTTTACTACATTTTTATATTTTCCACCATAACCAACCCCATTCTCCTTCATCCTGCAATTCTTCCCTTTTTTCACGGATACCGAGCTGATCAGACGTGCTAGCAGCAGCAT